ATGGATCAGCTCATAAGCCAGTGTATGCTGATCTGGCTATTGCTGCTAAAGGGAAGAGACCACAGGCAGCACCAACACAAGAACAACCAGTGGTATATGCATCAGATAACAACAAAGTAATGATAATGTACATGTACATGTAATGGTATCTTATACATCCTCTCTCTCTCCTCCTAGTCTGTTCCTCCTCCCATTTCTCCTCCAGCTGCTCCTCATAAAGTATTGTATGCTGATCTATCAATAGCAGTTTGTAAGAGAACACCAAAGAATAAACCACCCACTGAGGAAAGAGTAGTCCATGCAGCAGTAAATGGAAATGTAAGCCAATACACATTATACTGTATGGAGTAACACAACCTTTATCTCTCTCCCTCCCTCTCTCTCCCCCTCTCTTCCAGAGGAAGTTCACTACTCAAGAGCTGATCATGGATAGGTTAGGTGGTCTGGATATTCCTCCTCCAATACCATTAAAACCAAAACCTTGAAACCAACACAAAGACATAAATCCTCCCTGTCTCCAGTAGTATAGAATGGACATACTTTAGTATAATGTATTGTGAAACGATTAACTCTATCTTGTATTCTCTCTCTCTGTCTTTCTTTATAATGTCATGGGTATATAGTGTATATTCTTTTGTAATTTTTAGTTCATTCTAATCAACAGAACCAACAATGTATAAAGTATTATAAAGTTCTAGTTAACGACAGCATTTAATGGTTATTGTAGTACAGGGACTTTTGTCCCATTTCGGAGCAACTTCAAAAATCATAAAAAATCCAAACTTGATCAGAATCGTCTAAAATTTTTTACATAGCTTACGTACATGTATATGCATCAAAAAATGTAATAAAATTGATGGATTTCCTACTTGTCAATTTTTGTGAAATTATACAAAAATCCCTGTAATATAATACAGGGACTGTTGTCTGATTTTGGAGCAACTTAAAGAAATCATAGAAAATCCAAACTTGATCAGAATCTGCTCAAATTTTCTACACAACATAAGTACATGTACCAGAAATTGTAATGAAATTGAGGAACTTTCTACTTGTTGATAACTGTGATGTGTCTGTGTTTAGCTTTGAGTAGCAAACACTTTTGATTCTTTTACTTCTTGAAAAATGAGGAAAGGTTACCTTTTGGATCGAGATAATGATTGAGAGCAAGAGTAGATAATAATGATTATCTACTCTTGTCGAGAGTAATAAATAACATGCTCCTCGGCCAGTAATATGATGGCTAGGGGTACGTGAGTGTGACTGGTTACTTAATTTAAATGTGCTATTGAAGGTGTGGCTGTCACTGGCTGATTTGCTTTGATTTTGATATGGTTTGCTTTAGAATGTCCTAGAGAGAGAGAGAGAACTTACTGGTTCAAGAGATTCTTTCTCTCACTTTCCCCTGGCCTCTAAGAGATGTAAGGTGTAGCTTTATTCTTGAAACATAATTCAGCAACCCCTATTATCTATTATGCGTATTGATTAGAAATAGATATTTGAGTTGATTGCTGTCTTTTTGTGATAAAGGACTGGCAGAGAATGCAAACATTGACAATACCAGTAATAGTGTCAATTGAGAAAATCATACCATTATCAATGTAATGTAAAGTGTACATGTACCTTTTTACATTTATTATTAACATTGCTTATTCCTTGTAGACACAACAGAGTAACCTGAGAGCAAAAATGTGGTTCAGCAAGCAATTTTATGTTTAAGCTCTTTTTCATAATTACTGTTTGATTTATGAACAAGTGGAAGTACAACGAAATCAGTATACTCATGTGCAGTTTACACCCACGCAAATAATTGGATTCATTCCTGTCTCTAATGGCATGTCTACTTATCTTCATAGTCATCTTCATTCTTGATAGGAGACACGCCTACTATAGGCGGGGTGGTGATCATGATGATGATGTGAAGATATTCCATAGATGTATCAAACTATTAATATCTGTACAAACTATCATTTTTAGTATGTATAATGGTGCATCCATATATGTATGTATATCTATAGCATGTATCCAATGGGAGAGAAAGCTGTCTATATTATACTTATATGCTTTGGCACTGTTCACACCCCATAGTACCTATCACTGGTCTATTAACTGGACTCAATTATATCAATAATTACTAGTATCATTGTATACTGTATAATGAAGAATAGAGGGAATAAACAACAAACAGTGCGAGGAGCAGCAATATAATAATTTAACAATAATTAATAAACAACAAAAACAAGATAATGCACACACTAATACTGCTTATGGACATATTAATTATTGATTATGGTAACTGTT